TGATGTACAGATTGAGGCATGAATGAAGAACCTAGAGCCTACTACTACTCTCAGCCTTTTAGAGCCTCCACTGACTACCTGGAACTGTAGAGAACACAGTGTGAAAAATCACTGGTTTAAAGAACAGGATGTTGGATATTCCATGTTCTTCCTTACCTAATGGAAAGCCAAAAATACCAGATTGTGACATCATGGATGGCTCAAAGGAACCTTCTTGGTTAGCAGTAGTGATGTTTCGTAGCCTAAGGCTATCATAGAGGCCTTGAAGCTTTTGATACTGACGATTTCGCTCCATAAGTTTCTCAGAGATGTCGCTGAACTTTTTCTTGTATTCTTCTAGCACTTTCTTCATGGAAGTGACCTCCCCTTTTATAGAGGTCAATTCTACATCCTTTCTCTGTATTTGCTGAGTATATATCTTCTCCATCTGCTTCAGATGGCCCTCAGCCTTGCTGAATTTGTATTCTTGATAGAGACGCTCCTGATGTACCTGTCCCAAGAAAGAAAAAAAAAAGGTTTTTAATGTAGTAAATACAGAAGTTATATATTATGAAACTTTATACAAACACAAAAAGAAAAGATGCTTATACTGGGGTGTTATTAACATTTAGAATCAAGTTAAAAAGTAATCAGGATGTACAATAGGATGGCTATTATTGAAAATAATACATTATGTCACTAAATCCATAAAAAGAAATCTAGAGGAATACTCTCAAACTACTACCATTACACCAACAAAAGAAATGAGTATTTGTCTAATCTTAACAAGTGACATGTAGTCTTAAAAGTTTTTAAGAAATATAATCCTATGTTTCAAGTAACCCATAATGTGGAGAATAGATTATAAGATAGCCCCCAGTTACCCCTGCCTCCTGGTACTTACATTTTCCCTTTGAATGTGGACAGAACTTGTGAGTAAAATACAGGAAAAATGACAAGCTGTCACTTTATAAGTACATTACATAAGAATATAAGATCTGTCTTACTAGCATACTCTCTCTCTCTTGCTGGCTTTGTGGAAGCAAGCAGCCATGCTGAGAAAGTCAACAAGGCAAGTATTGGGTTGTCTGAAAATTCATGACGTATTTTGTCTATGTTTTTCAAAGGTGATTTATTTACATAAAGAACAAAGATCAATCAATGATATATTGACCATTTTGCTCAATAACCTTTTGCCATCTTTCAGTGAGTTTCATAATTCCTCGTTCATAGAAGGACCTGTCTTTATTTGTGAAGAACTGAACAAGGTGCTGGTTTACACCCTCACCTGAATTGAACGTTATATACCATGCAAGGAGTTTTGAAGAGAGCGAAACAAGTGGAAGTCTGATGGCACAAGGTCAGGCAAGTATGGTGGGTGTGGCAACACATCCCATCCAAGCTCCAATCATTTTTTTTT